GTGTGCACAGAGGCTACAGCACTAGAACACAAATCCCAACAGGAGAAGGAAGCATGGGAGATCAGGGAGGGCAGAGGCCGCCTGTGGCGCGACAGTAGACAGACGGCCAAGACAGGGCTCGGGGCGACGACAGGAGAGAGCTGAGCAGGAATAAACACATTTTGTTGGAAATGGCAAAATGAAACTATGCTAATTTAAATTGTTAAACCAAAAAATATTAAAATTTTAAAAATTTAAAACTAACCAAAATTTAAAATTTTAAAACTAACCAAAATGCTAGAAAAGCATTTGGCCAGTTATGCACAAAGTTCTGAGCCCTGTCCCCAGCACCACATAAACCAAGTGTGGAGGTGCACTCGGAAATCTCAGCACTGGAGAATCAGGAGCTCACGGTTATACTCTACTGAAGACTTTGCAGCAACAAGGTCAAAGGGACATTCTGCCTCAACCTGACCTCTACCTAAGACACAGGGCTGTGGGCCAACCATGTTTATTGTGGGTTTTGAGCATTCTGTCCAGCCTTACAGGGGTACAGTTTTCCAGATTGTCAATGAGCGGATTACTCAAATTCAAACCCCAGTGTGATAGGAAATGCCTGAAATCCTTTCACTTGGGAAGCTGAGGCAGGAGAATCACAAGTTCCAGGCCAGTGAAGGTTATAGCAAAAGACTCAGTCAAAAAAAAATGGGATAGAACACTAGCTGATCTTCCAGAAGAGACCCATGTTTGATTCAATTCCTAGCACCCATGTGGCAGTACACAACCATTTATAACTCCAGCCCCAGGAGATCTGATGCCACCTTCTGGCTTCCATGAGAACCAAGCATACATACGGTACACAGACAAACACGTACACAAAACATGAATACATATAAATGTTTCTAAAAGATGTCTGGAAGACGACTCAGTTGAAGTATTTATTAGCCTGCAGACCTGAGTTTCATCCTCAGAACATACGTAAAAAAAGCCAGGCATGATAGCACACTTGTCATCCCAGACTCTTGAGTTCAGGCCTCTATCTCAGATATAAGGGAGAGGACATCTGAGGAATGGCACCACACCCAAAGCTGTCCTCTGGCCTCCATTCCTGCATGCACACACATCCAGCACACACACATTAGTTAACCCCCGTGACAGGCCTACAATCCCAGAACTGAGGCGTTAAGGAGGACTATTGAGAGAGTTCAAGGCCAGCATAGACTAAACAGTGAATTCTAGGTCCACACGGGCTATGGAATAATACTCAAAAAAGAGAGATATAGATATAGATGATAGATCTCAGCTCAGATATTATGTGGTCTACGCAGCTTAACTTCTACCACCTGTAAAGATGAACACAGCCAGTGGAAATAGCCCCACTGCCTAGCAACTGGGAAATGAATAAACAAGAGGTGGCTAGCCCACACAATGGGCTATTGCTGAGCTATAAAACAGAACAAGGCAGTGGCACACACTGGAGCTCAATGACCTGGGAAAACACTGTGTTCAAGAAAAGGCCAAACACAAATGTCAAATATGCAGCCACATGCAGCCCCTCACTCTGATATTCCCAGAACTTGGAAAGCTGAGGCAAAAGGGACTACTCCAGGCTTTCCAAGAACAGATTACAGTGAATCCAAACCACTTGGAGATACAGTGTGTGACTATATCGAAAGCAAAAGCCAAAAAGCAAAATATCACTTCAGGTGTGGTTCTACATGTCTTTAATCCCAGCACTCAGGAGACAGAAGCAAGAGGAATCAGGAGTTTAAGGAGCCCTCAGCTCCACAGCAATTCAAAGCTGTCCTGTGACATGAAATCCTTTCAAAAAAATTAGAACCAGAAATGTGCTTCATCAGGGAAAGGAGCTGGCCTCCAAGCCTGGCAACCTGAACTTGACTCTTAGGATCCAAGCAGTGGAAAAGGAAAACCAGCTCTTGCAAGCTGTCCTTTGACTTCCACACAGCCAGCATGGCATGAAGCAAACACACTCACACACACCCAAGCGCACAAAAAATAAACGTAAGGAAGGCATAGGTAGAGAAACACCTGGGGCAAGTGGGGCAACTGGCTCACGTATTTGTGTGAAAACTCTAGATCAGGGAGATCCATGGAGACAGAACGTGATTAGCTGCTGCTTGGGGGAGGACGGGAGGAGTGGGGAGAAACTGCCAATGGGTACAGGATTTCTTTTTGTTTGTTTGTTTGTTTGTAAACATTTTTTTATTTACTTGTTTATTTATTTATTTATTTATAAAAATTTCCACCTCCTCCCCTCCTCCCAATACCCTACCACTCCCCCCACTCCCTCTCCTCCTTCCTCTCCAGTCCTAAGAGCAGTCAGGTTTTCCTGCCCTGTGGGAAGTTCAAGTTCCTTCCCCCCTCCCTCCAGGTCTAGGGAAGGTGAGCATCCAAACAGACTAGGATCCCAAAAAGCCGGTACAGGATTTCTTAACTTACACTTTGGTGGTGGTGGCGGCTGTTGTGTTGTTGAGGAGACATGAGATAAACCCCAGGCTAAATGCATAGCTGTGGGTCTCCAGCCTCATCTTCCCCATTGCTGGGATCTACGAGAATGTACCACCAAGTCCCATGGGATTGGGGTTTCCTCGGGGTGATGAAAGTCTCTCAGAACTAGACCACACAACACTGTGACTACGCCAAAGGCCACTGGACTGTGAGCTTTGAGATAGTTAGTGGTTAATTTTTAGTTATGTGAACTTTCCTCTTTGTCAGAGAGAAGGAAAAAGTGGTCAGGATTGGACAAGGATACTCAACAGCCCTCCCTGCCTCCCCCCAGCCTCACCATCTTCCCACACAAGGCCCTGGCACTTCCTGGCTACCCTGACACCACTTAGGTGTACTAAGCCTTCACTGACCACATGCCCAAAGCAGTGCCCACACAGACATCAGCATCTGCATGGTCTATACAACATCCCTGAAGGTTCCCACCCCATGTCCAAGTCTATGGCTGGGGTGGGAATGGCACTCCAGTTGCCTAGAAACCCTTCCCATGTATCAAAGTAGGGCCACCCCTTCCCCTAAGTACAACAGTCAGAGTAAAGGGGGGGAAATGTGGCTAGAGACGTAGCTCTAGGAGAGTGTCTGCATAAACAAAATGTAATCTGTATTGGAACCTGAGGTAATTCCTCTGCCTCAACTCACTCTTGTAATCTCACCATTTATAATACCCGCATTACAAGAATGAGCAATGCATATACTTGGCATACACAAAGCCTTAGGTTCCATCCGCAATAAAAATCAAGGAATGGTAGTACATGTCTATAATCCCAGCACGGGGGAAAGGGAGGCAAGCATAAACAATAGTTCAGCGTTCAAGACCAGCATGGATTACAAGATACCCTGTGACAAAGTGAGACATCCTAACTGGACAGCCTCTGTTTTACATCTTCTGACACACAAGGTCTTAACAGTTCAGTTCAGTAGGCACATGAAGGGGCCCAACTCTCACATACAGATAAAAGATATCCCCACATGGGGACACAAAGCCAGCCTAGCCCCAGAGGATGGCAGTTGAGATCACCTGGAACAATCACATATTGCAAAACCACAGTGAGTCAGAACACCAGATGTGATGGATCACAGTCGTAACCCTAACACTGGGGAAAGTGAGCCAGATCGGTCAGGAATTTAAGGTTAGCCTCTACTACACAGTGACACTCTATTCAAATGAAATATATGAATACCATAGCAGGTTGTTTGGAACCACCAAGTACCAGGTGGTTTGCTTCAATGAGAACCCAGATACTCTAGATAATTCGAGATCCCAGATGTCTGCACAGGTAATAGGGTACTGTATAGCCCTGCATGGTCCCTGACACCATGCTGGCCAACTGTGACCTGTGGCTGACAGGTACAGAGCATAGCTAAAGGTAAAAAGAAATTCTTTCTCCCTTAACTAGCCTAAAAGTAAAAAATAATCTTTTTTTTTTAAATTTCAGATAGAGATAGACAGACAGATGGGTGATAATAGGATCTCACTATGTGGTCCAAAGCTGGCCTGAAGTTCAAATTATTCCTTCCTGAAACCTGAACTTACAGAATTGCTTTTCTCCCAGCTAGAAAGGGCCTTCTCTCTCTCTCTCTCCCTCTCTCTCTCTGCAACACTCAGTTGGTAAAACTGGGGGACTCAAGTGTTAGTCTACAGGGCCAAGGAAAGCTCTCCCCACCTCCCTCCAAGAGGCTCTACCATCAGTCAATGCACCCCATCCTGGCTGAAGCATCATCTGCTCTTTCAAACACACAGTCCCAACCCTCTACCCAGATCTAGACTCTGCTTCCTCCTCCTTCCCCTGTAAAGGACCAGGAGAGCAGAGTCTCAGAACCAGAGCAGTTTCTACCTTCAGCCTTCCTGGTGCACACTCACACTCCCTCCCTCTGCACCTTCCTACCTCCAGCCTTCCTGGTGCACACTC